GAACGGCGGGCACTGTCCCCCTATAAAAAACATACAACATAATAGAAGCTTTGTTGTGAACATTTTTGTTTTTTACTTTTCTTCTTATAGCTTTGTAATTGTTACATTATTTCACATTCTTTAAATGCCTATTATTTCTAATCGCGCACAGGGCCAAAGCAAAATGTCGATAAATTTAAAAAAAAAATAAAAAAATTTAGATTTGTTAATTTGTAATACTCTTGTTCTTCGATTATCTCCCCTTATGTTTTGTCCTCTTTTTCACACTCTCTTCCCTTTTCTGTCTCTTTTTTATTCTCTTTCTGTCTTTCATCTATAAGAACTCTTTTTTACTTTCTTTTTCGTTAGATTAGCCTCTCTTTCTTATCTCTGTGTGGATTTGTTTTCTCTTTAATGTATCTCTCTTTTTTCTGTTATCTCTTTCTGTCCATGTTTCTCTTTCTTTTTTTGTTTCTTTCGCTTTCATATTTACAAAGCTTCTATCAACTCACTCCGTCTGTCTGTTTGGTAAAATGTTTGTACACGTTATTTCCTCCGCACCCATTCTCTGGTCAAGCTGTAATTTTGCACAGGTATTTCTTTTACCTGTCAGCACAAGAATCAATAAAAAAAAAACAACCAATTACTTAATTAACTATTGGTAATTAGTTAGGCCCTATTTTGTTTGGTATCTCGAACAAGGGACAAAATATACTTGATTGAAGTAGTGGTATATCTTATCTTATCTTATATAATACAGACGTTACTTCAAAAAAGAAGATGATTACGTCCTACGTGTCATGCATTTAGTCATGCATATTAACCAATGACTTAAATTCTGCCAAGTCACTGGTTTTCCTGGCTAGCTCAGGCAACCCATTCCATGCTCTAATAGCACTAGGGAAGAAGGAGTATTTGTACAAATTTGTCCTAGCATATGGGACGAGGAGTGTCCCTTTATCTTTGTGTCTTTCAGAGTATTTTATTAAATTTTGTTTTTGTATTTGAAGATTATGGTTCAGTGTTTTATGTATAATTGCTACTTTACTTTTGAGTCTTCTGTCCTGAAGGCTTTCTAAATTTAGTGATTTTACTATAGGTGTTACTCTAGTCAAATGTGAATATTCATTTGTTATAATCTCACTGCTCTATTTTGTGTCTGTTCCAGTTTCTTAATGTTTTCTTGAGTTGAGGGGTCCCAAATGGAGGATGCATATTTTATTATTGGCCTAACTAAGGTTAAATAACATTTTAGTTTTATGTTCTTATTTGATTTATAGAAATTTCTTTTAATAAATCCTAATGCTTTGTTTGATTTTTTTATAGTTTCATCAATATGTGGATTCCATGACAGTTTTTCAGTTATTATAACACCTAGGTATTTTGCGTTTTTAGTCTGTGTTACTGGTTTGCCATGAATAAGATAATTGGAATTAATTTGTTTTAGTTTTTTTGTAACTCTTAACAACTAATATTTTTCTGGGTGGAAAGACATGCTCCAATTTGATTCCCATTTCTGTAATTCATCTAATTCTCTTTGTAAAATATCTGTGTCTTGTGTTGTTTTTATTGTTCTATATATTATGCAATCGTCTGCATTGCTTAATTCTTTGAGTAATCTAGCTGGAATACCTAATCTAATAAAAGATCTAATAGAAACCCCAAAATTACTTCTTGTACCGAACAAGACATGAATCCAATAAACATTTACCTATTCATCAATGAATTATTTGTACTTATTTTGTATGATATTAAAAAAGTTAAATATATTCAACATCATTGAGGATATAGTTTAAATTGGAGTTCTTCCACTTAGATCCTCTTTTTTTTTTGAAGTATTTTTTAAAATATTTTTCTTGGGTCTTTTTTCAGACTCAGGTGTATCCTCACTTCAGTTTCGGATTTGGCTTTGCCTGGCCCATAAAATCCTGGCCATTAAGTTACTTATTACTGAAAGAGAATACACTTCATTACAATTAACAATCTGAGTTGTTTGTTTGTTTAAAGATAATAATGTACCTTAAAAACGTATATACATAGTTCGTCCATCGTGACCACTTTTGTCATCCAGGGGGCTGAGGGCTGTGCACTTTAAGTTTTGTGCCTTCTCGTGGTTTGTGAGACCTATGTGAGCCCTGAATGCATACTGGGCAGGCTATTCCAGCTGGAGTTAGTGTCATTGACATTGCTTTTTTTTTTCTCTAACGCTTTTCTTCTGTCAGCGCTGTTCTCTTTTCCGCGTCAATTAGTGCGCCAGTTTTTTACAGCGCGACGCCATGATGCTCTGTCATGTGCACCAGCAGACCGAACGATAGTTGAAAGTGAATGTGAAAAAGTTAAATGCGATCCTGGCCTAATGATGTCTTATAATGAATATCTAAGTGATCTAATTGTTTTGTAAAGGGTCAATCTCTTATTCAAATCCTTTAAAAAAAATTGCCTTCAGTTGAGATATATAGTTGATGTACAGCACTGCAGTTCAGGCTATAATATGAAAACCTACTTAACTCTTTCTCTCCGTAATTATTTACCAAATTCTGGTGGAATCAACGCTGGTATCGTCAGTTAGGAGAGAAAGAGTTAACCCTTAAAACGCGTGTGGTCGTTTAGCCTCTAAACATCAGTCAGTATAAGTAAGAGTTGGTAGTAGCCTATTGTTGTAAGCTGTCACTATAGAGTTAGTTAATGAGAGCTAATGAGTTCGTTGAGACTTTTACCAGTTAGGTTTTGAAGAATGAGTTCCATTCATAGTTCAAATAGTAAAACTCTACAGGTCTACACAAAAGATAGCGTACTTAGCTTGCTATAGCATAGCGCTATATAAAAAGTAATTTTTAAAATATACTGATTGCCAGGGGCGGACTGGCTATATGGGCATTTGGGCAAATGCCCGGTACCTAAATGGGCCTATGGGCCACCGAAAGGGCCGTATGGATGCCACTATGTATTAAATTATTAACTGTTTTATAATAATCTCTCTTCTGAGCGTTGTGTTTATGGGAATACATAAAACTAATTGGATGTAACAATTTTTCAGAAATAATGTAAACGTCTACATCCGTGGACAGTGCTACCGGTAGGCTTTATCTGTTTATGGACTACACACTTAGCGATTAAAAAGCAACATAAGGCCTATATTTCTCATAACCACAATGTATGTACGTACACAGTAAGTCACAGTTATTGATACTCAAACTTAACGCAATGATTTTGGGGTCAGGCATATGTATAAATGGATGCCCATCATATGGTATGCAATTTATGAGCCTGATTGTATAGAAATGCCCGGGCCGATTTTAACACCCAGTCCGCCCCTGCTGATTGCCCACAAAAAATTTTCTCATTGACACTAGTTTAATTGGAAAATAGCTCAAAAAGATAGTTGGACAATTTTGCCTTGGATTGGATTTTTTTTGTCAATGTCCTGTCCGTTCTTTTGTGTTGTCTTCCCTTGCTTTCTCTGTCTGACTTCTTCTTTTTTTTTTGATAGGTCACTGTTCCCTAAGCCCTAAATGAAGGTCTTTGCAAGCCCTGATGACTGTAAAGTTCTAGTTTGCGTATTTTTTTTTTCAGTGTCATATCATTGTTCGTTGGCCAGTGACATGTGCTAGTAGTGGAGTACTGGGGTACACCTGTTTATGGTGATTGTGATATAGCACGGGAGAGTTAGGAATCATGGGCAGGAAATCTCGTTCTGAGAGTTGACCACATGGTGAGAAATTAGTCGACGCCATGGAAAAATACGACAGACGAGTCGTGTTAGTAGTTTGAAAAGTATTATTAGCTATGTACTTGATGAATTTCATATTGTGAAGTTATGGGAAGTATTTTATGTGATTTATTGATGGCTGAAGTTGTCAATTTATTGTGAACCGTTTTATTATAATGAATAAACATTTCGTCTGCTACAATGGAGTTATAATTTCATAATCTATATGTTGTGGTGATATTACTCAGTAGACATATGCAACATACAACAGTATTCTAGTGAATGAAAACATCTTTAATGATTGTATTGTGGACACTCTTACATGCTTAATTAAATGTTACTTAATAAGTATTCACATTGTATTGGCCACCCTGGGAGCGCTTTCCTGCACACAACCGTGACCTCCGTCGAAGGCGCCGACACAACTCCTCGTACAGAGGTCGTTTGGGAAGGCGTTTGTCTGGCATGCGGACTACATGTCCCGCCAATCGAAGTTGGGACCTTTTTACTGTCGCATTGATACTGTACATGTTGGACAACTTTAGGATTTGTGTCTGGATATAGTTTATAGAAAATAAATATTTCCGTATTCTTTGCACCAGATACCGTGTGATTCTGTTTGTATGGTTTGGTTTAGTACTTTGTTGTTTTTTTGTTTGTTTTTTTGCATATTGTTTTGGAATTATGTGCATCTTTTTTTTTTTTTTTTGACATTCTTATGTTAATTTTGTTTGATCAAACCTCATGATTCTACTGATACAACTTGTACTATTTGAATGTCTTCTTGAATTGTAATATTGCAGAGATAGGCCTAAATAAAAGATGATTTATGTAATAAGTTCTGGTGTATTAAATATGGATTCTAAATGATAGCAAACTAACTGAAATGCCATTTATTCCAGATTATTTGACTTTTAGTAAAATAATTACTTTTCCTCTACAGTTTTGTCCCAGAAGTTTTGAGAATGTATTCGTTATCTGACAGTTATGTCTTCGTTTCATGGAGCTAAAAAAAAAGCTAACAGAATTTGAACCAATTTGCCTGGGTTCCATTCTAGTTGACATGTTCTCTACGATATAACTATGTCTCATTTGTGCACATTTACTTCCATTTAATGTATGACCAGAGATTTTTTTGTTGTTATTGTTCTAACTCCGCAGAGTTTTAGGTCATGTCTTCTTACTACATTCTTAGCATGCTCTAAATGGTTTGGTCTATTTTATTTTGGCTTGATATGCCCAGATATGGCATTTGAAACTTTATAACAACATCTGGGAACAAAACAAACAAAATAAAGTCAACACGTTGAGTGAAAATTTTAATATTTTTTTAATGTGTATGTCTCAAACATCTTTGTTCCTCTAATTGATTTCACCCTCTTGAATACTGGCTGTGTACATAACGAGTGAGCTACTAGACTTAACCCTTAAAGTGCTGAGCTGTTTTGAAATGATTGCATACAAAATGGAAAGTACAATTCAGATGTTTAGATGCTAAACTGACACACGCGTTGTAAGGGTTAAGTACCGTTAAGTAAGAGTATAAAACCTGTTATTTGATTCACAGCTGCCTTCGTGTCTTCAGGTAAAAGAAATAAAAACACTGACCTATACATAGCAAAATTGAAGACATTATTTGATATATATTACAATAAATGCGTGGTTGGGAGGATAAGTACTCTTGAACTTGGCATGGCTGTGAAGGGGGGTTTGAGGTTCGACATCCGACTCAGGGAGAGTTGCGTTTACTGAGCGCCTGAAAAACCTTCCAGATACCCCCTCCCCCACTGGTCCACAAATGAGATTGGACCAGAGCACTCTGAGCATGCTATAAGCATGAAAGTAGCGCTATATAAAAGCTATAATTTAATTTAAATGGGGTAGATCCATTAAACATGTCGGGTGAATCAGCACCAATACCAAAATATATAGAGAAAACTCCAAAAATATAAATTGGTAACATTTTTCAGTCTTAACAACATTAATATACGAACATAAACCATTTCAGAATAACACCTACAGTTTTCTATAATAGCTGAATGCTAACAGACCAACAATAGTTTCTCTATTTGTATCACTTTTTGTTGTTGTTGACGGCTTCAAATTTACATCTCATTTTTGAATTCACAATTCAAACACAGTAGCCATTTGTTTCATTCATATGTTTCCGATGTACCTTCAGGGATCCTAGCCCGGTTCTCCCACAGGATGGTAGTAAGCAAAAGTTGAACCCAGGACCATCATAGCGCACACCGCACGGCAAGGCAGTAAAAAATAGCTTTCTCTAAAGTTAGATGTGGCCAACTATGTAGGTCACAGGTGGGTCATGAGAAATACTTCAATTGTCCTTAATCTACCGATTTGAAGACAAGCTCTAAAGGACTGTATATCTAAGTAGTTACATTCAAAGGTACATGAAGTTGTACTTTAAACCAACTCCTCAATTTTTTTTTGGAATTTACAAAAGAAATAACCTAATAAAAGCTATAATAAAACAAATAGTTAAATAATAATAATTAACAATAAAAATTAATGCAAAGGTTCATCATCAAGTCAATGTTGTAATTATAAACAGAGAGAAATAGGAAAGATAAAAACAATGGAATGGAAACTGTCAATGCAGAAAGATCTAGAGAAAAGATTTTGTTATAAAGGATTTCAAGAGAGCGCCACCAAGCTCTACAACAAGCACTGACAAAAAAAATTAAATAACAAAAGGTTACAAAGCTGGCCATAAAAATCCAATCATTTACTTCACAGACAGTTCAATACAAAGATCAACTTCCATTTTAACCACTTTGGTAGAGTAGTAATAGTATTTGAAAAGAAAAATTCATAGTTTATAAGCATTTTACGTCCAAATAAAATTGTAATGCATCTTTAAAATATCTATGTATACATATATTTACACAAGCATACATTATAAGCATGCATCAGATTCAAACATAAAAATTAATGCATTTTTATAAAAACTGTAAACAAGTTTATTTTATACAATAAAATAAAATTGGAAGCACACAAAAACATTTCACGAATGAAACCTATTTCATTGTGAAGGTTCTTCTTAGAAGTATTTTAAACCTGATAGTTTGATCATGCTGAGAATGTGATCAGTTTAAAGTTTACTAAACACATCTGGCCTTACGATCTACCCAAAGTCTTTCCATTTCACAAAGACATCAATGAGGTAATAAGACGTTAGACTTTGATTGCTGGCATTCAATAAAATGTATTAACAAAACATGAAACTTGTAGAAATAATTCAATCAATGTACTGGTATCTTACACTTTAGAACAAAATAGCTCACAGGAAGATCTACATTTCAAATAACCAGGCAGAAGAATAGAAAAGGTTAGATGAACAAAGATGTTCTGTTTTAAACATCTACACAGCCTACAGCTTAAAAAAAGTTAATTCTTATACAACTGTCTCTTGATAGTCTAACAATGGACCTCATTCACCAATCGTAAACAAACAACATTTAGCCATGTGGTTCTCTATTTCTTCTATACAAAATACGCAATCCATGAAGGCTGTCACGTGATACGCTTTGTTCATTGTTTTATTGATATTATCACTTGGCTAAATGTTGTTTGTTTAAGATTGGTGAATGAGGTCCATTGATAATCCAACATGGCGTAGACATAAATAATGTGCATATTTTAAAAATGTATTAACACTTAAAATGTTATTTAGTACAGTTTGTAAAAAAAAAGAAATATAAATCTATACCAGTATTTTGTAATTTTTTTTTCTATTTGTTAATTTTATACCCTTGAGAAGAACATCTTATGAAACAGAATTCTCTTTTCCTTTACATTTGATTCTTGTAACTACAGCTAACCTTATGTAACCTTTGCTTTTAACACCCAGGACTTTTATGTACAGCATTAGATTTCAAGGAAAATGTGTCAGGTAAATCAGCACTACAAACACCAGCTATTAGAAGTAACCAATACAAAAAATATACATAGAAACTCAAAAAAGTATAAATTGATAACATTTTTCAGTCCTAACAACATTAATATAAGACCATAAATCATATAAGAAAAACACCGACAGTTTTCTATAATAGATGAATGCTAACAGATCAACAATATTGTTTTCCTTTGTATCGCTCTTTTTGTTGTTGTTGATGGATTAAAAGTTACTTCTTTTTTTTTTTTCACAATTCAAACACAGTAGCCCTTCATTTAAAAATGCACGTTTACAGCCAATTTTTTTTCAATACTGTTACATTTATTTTTTCTTTTCTATATCAAAATAACATTGTTTAAATTAATTACTACTAGAAATCAATCACTGGTTCATGTTTTGTTAGGGACAAAGAAAACGTTTTGCAAAGTTTGAGCTTGATCCAAGAATGGGAAGTGGAAGACATATCCTATACAAAAGTTGTACCAGACAGACAGATGGAGAAAGTTGATGGGACCTGCATCCAAAATGACAGTGAAAACATTTAGATTTGCTGAAGTTTTCTACACTTCTAAATTTTCTATTTGTAACTTCTACTTAGGAAAAATCATTAGAGTAGTCAGTCCACTTGCACTTAATTGGAGCAAGATAAAGACCATAGAGAAATGTAACATTTTCAATAGGGCTTGTTTACATCTTAACACAAAAGAACAGGGGTGGGAAAATTACAGCCCATGGGCCATGTGCGGCCCGCGGCAGCGAAGTTGTCATGGAACAAGATGGTGGGTGTAAATACTGATGGTACCCATACTCTGACTTAGAAAAACTTTGGTTTGATAATAAAAATTAAAGAACAATATTCCAACCATAAAAGTGATCAAACTTATTAAAGTAGGGGTCAGACAGATCCGAGAAGTACTTAAAGATTTGGTATGTAAACATTCAGATGTTAGGTACCACAACATATCCACCAAATTAGGATGGGCAAGGTATTGAGAAGAATAGGGGATCTCAAGAAAGAAATTGTTAGGCTCTTTGAACGATATGTTCCTCGAAGGACATTGACTGTGACTTTGTTATATATATTTCTAATAAAGAGTGGAAGACAGACTTCATATTTGCCATGGACGTTATTTAAATTTTTTGCTTGAAAATAAAGAAGTGTACTAACGTTTCATTTGAAAGTAGTCACAAGGATAGTAAACTAGAAAGCTAGATCATCAGTTCCGAAACATTATTCATTATTTGTGAGTGTAAATAGTTAAATACTTCACATAAACTGTACATTTGTGGTAAAATGTGATGTAAAAAAAATGTGAAATAAAAAAAAAAATTAGTAAAATTATTTTAAAACATTGCTAATTCCTCACTGTGAGTGTAAAAAATGAAATTTTAAATGCTGAGAACAGTATACATGACATTATATATAGTTAGCGATCACATTTTACTAAGTTATAAGTAGATATATATTTATATGCATGTGCCACATTTTCCAAATTTTAAAAAATGCAGCCCTTCCTTGTAACAGACAAACTGAACCTATCCAGTGGCGTAGCAAGGTATCCGTGAGCCCCGGTTAAAAAATATGTTGGTGGGCCCCCAACCCAATAGGACAAATTTAGTGTGAGACAAAGAAATCTTAGTCTGAATGTATCGGTACATATACCAAATGACATTTCAATCCAAGTAGTGTACCTTGTTTTGTTTTTTTTTGTAAGTTATAATAATATTACGCTGGATTTAGTTACTACTCCTTATACATAATAGTGTATTATAATTTATGGAAGCACCATAAATATAAATAGTGATTTCTCTTTACTAGCTAACGTTTAGTTCTAGCAATATGAAAACCTAGAAACGGCTCCAGATTAACCCTAGACACTAAAATAAGACTGATGCATGCCTTGGTCATAACCACATTCTTGTATGCTTGCATATCTAGAGAGAAGGATCCTAAGAATTGAGATGCTATAGAAGGATCCTATGTATCACCCACAAAAACTGTGCCACAATAGAAGAGATTTGAAGCAGGATCACACCGGTAATAGGGCCCCACGATGACCTGCTTAACTATTGTAAAAAAAACAAATTGAAACTTTAAGGCCACATCACAAGGTCCTCAGGGCTTGGAAAAAGAAGAGACAATAAGAGAAAGCGATGGGAAGACAGCATAAAAGAAAGGCAGTCCTGTCATCGAAAAATATTCTATTCAAGGCAAAAGACAGAGAGGAACTGAGAAACAGTCAATAGGTCATGTATGGTACCCCAAAAAATGAACAGACCTAGGGATAGGGAAAGGATTAATGGCTATCTCATTGCTATTTCTTTGGGTATTCCGCATCAAGAAAATGCTAATTTGATGTCTTGACTGCTGTCAAAAATGTTAGATGAATTTGGCACAGATTGGATCTCCTTTAGTATTTTGCTAGAACAACATTAACCAACAAGCCTATTATCTAGTTTTGAAATTGTGGAGCAAGGTAAGTGGTTGAGTTTTTTTTGTTGTTTTTTTCTTCAACACGAAGTCATACTTGGAAATCAAACCAAAGTGCAATTATTTTTTCCAATTTGGTGTAGCCACAATGGGCTCGGGCCCTATCGGTCACAAATCATGGTCCCAACTGCAATGAAATCCCAACAAGCCATTGCTCTGTGACACAGGCTGTGTACCCCAAACGGTCATGAGTCTGGGTTCATTGAACCCCTTCTCACCATGGATGCTGTGCCACTTCACATCTAGAGTTACTTTACAAAAAAAAAAAGAAAGTACAGCTGAATGTTTTGTCATAACATCTTATGACCAATCTTCGTCAGACAGTGTGATCAGGGGAAGCCCCAATCCAAATTGATAAACGATTTAGAAAGAGAAATAA